AGGGGGGGGGATACTAGTTCGAGATACGATGTTAATGTTGCATGCACACACTTCGCGACAATCTTCGGGAATTTAGCTTTGGACGAATAATGAAAGTTATAGCTCTGAATAGTCAAAAAAGGTGAGGAAAGGCGAAAATCGGCCTATATAGAAAAATGTGAAGCTTAAAAAAAGTAGTACAATCAGGGGTTGGGCGAGAATGTAACGACAAAAGTTGCGTGGGGGACGGGTACTACGTGCTTCCGAGTGCGCGGCGATGTTCGTGACGATTTGTACGATTCTGTCTTCTCAGGGTCTTTGTATTCTGTCTTTGTACGATTCTGTCTTTTCATTCTGTCATTTTCAGGGCACAAACTGGGCATTCAAATATGGACCCCAATGATAGGCACTAGAGCCGTTCAAAGGTTCGTTAGGCGTTCGTTATTCGTTAAGAACTTCGGATGCACTTAATGCCACATACCCAAGTTGTATGGAGGGGGTAGTTGGACGAGAATTCAGTTTCTCCGTGTGATGAAACTATGAACCCTCAAGAATAATTCAACGGGATCGGGCCCGTCGAACTATTCTTAAAGGTCCACAGGTTCATCCCAGGGAGTAATCTTGGAAACCGTTTTCATTATGAAGTGTGCTTTTATATATTGAAGCAGTAATTGAACAAAAACATCAAATTCGAACAGTAATTTTAGTAGCATTTCGTAGTGGGAATGATCGCTGAAGTATCACAGGTTATTATCTACAAAACATGCCCAGATTAGGTTGAAGGACTCAATGACTTAACAGGTGAGCATCAGAAAGGTATGGTGCAAATTGTTTTTTCTCTAGAAACCACAGTTTTATGCTTTCCATCTTGGACCGTTTCAATCTAAGTCGTGGTTTTCCTAACTGTGCAAGGTTCCTGAAATGATTTGGGAAGCAGAATGACCTGTTCATCAAGGAAAAATTTTTAAGAAGGGTCTATAAAACTCGATTTCGTTTTTTGGGTTTGGTATGACATTCCGCCCATGACTCAGTATCCTTGTGATAAGCAAGAAAAACTGGTTCCCCCGTTATCAAATAAACTTCGACACTGAACACTGGTTTCTAATCTGCTTATTTCAGAACTAATCATTTCTTTGCAAGTAGTCTAAATCATTAGATGCTAGACAGGTCCTGTGACATTTGTTCTCGTGGCATTTGGTGCATGTTTAAAAACGAGCCTTGTGTAGAAACGCAGCTAAAACTCCTTACTGTTAGAGTCAAACCCACAAGTCTCATTTGTAAACAAACAGGCGCTTATAGGGGAATGGCCGAAGTTGAATCATCGTCAAACCTAAGTGGAGTAAATCATTCTTGATGGTATCATATAATATGATACCCCATTAATTGCCAGTATACACCGTGATAAAAAGTACGAGCAAACTAGGATCATTTCGAAGGATCACTTTATCTGGGCGTGCACCATATTGATATGTTCATGAGCATTCGTCCTCCCAGACGAATCTTGTGCCAACCGACCGACCCCGGATGCAAGGCTCGGTTGGCGCAGGCGGATGCCGATCCCGTGACCATGCCTACCTCATGGTACGCCTCTGTTCACTACACCACCTTCGCCTTTCCAGTATAACAACAGGAAAATGCAAAGAATTCAAACACATTTCCCCATTGATTCCGAGACTCTACAAAGGAAAGCGTATCTCTACAGTTCCGGTCGTGCCTCTCCCTGAACTTTTCTGAGTGATTGCTCTGGAAGATCAATGGAAATTGTAGCTTTCCAGGAACATTTGCGGACGGAAAAAAACTACCAGACAATCAGAAAGCGTATGACAAGAAAGCAATTATATTCTAGTATATGGACCTCATGTAGAAATGTCATTATTTGGAAGGAAATCGTAATTGAACTATGTCGTACTCACCTAATGTGAATTGCTGGGCCTTCTGCATTCCAATTCCACAGGGAAATACAGGAACGTCCCCTTATCACTGAATGCATTGCTTGAGCACCTATCGCATATTATAAAAAGGTCTTAGGAATTCATGATGTATACCTTTACCAATCAGAGACGGACATAGAAGTGTTTCGTCATGACTTTCAAAAATACTCTTGAAATAGCAGAAAGACAACAAAGTTTTTGCTTGCGGCGCATACCCTAGTTAAGGTAAAATGAGCTGATTCCTCTCGGTCAGCTCAATACGAATTGTGACAGTAGCTACTACAACACTGATTCAATTTCAATTTATTTTATTTTTGGCATAGGCCATTATGGTAGGTTCGATTTGCTTCTTGTCACACGTGTGAAGCTATCAACAGCCCTCACTAGGTCAAAGGCACAGTACGATGATTTGGGTTATTCAGATAGATAAAGGTCCTATACAAGTAATTGAAGTGGTAGCTGAGATAAGTGCAAACTGTTGCAATAGAAAACGCAAAAACCCACGTATTCAGAGAAGTTTAAGGCTTCAAGAAAGTTGCAAGTTCAGCGGCTGGACGAGTATGTGACGACAAAATTCGTATGGGAGGGGGCACTCGGACGAGCTGTCCAAATGTGTGTGCCATTGCATACTGATGGCTACAATAAGCTGCCTGCTTGCAACGTGCGTGTCCTGGTCCGAGGGTGCAACCTCTCCACCCTTTACAACTCTGTAAGAACTCGTCCGATATTGAGTGTGTACTCCGGCTGAGACAGTTTTGGGGACATTATCACGCCCCAATAACTCCGTTTTTCCACAGCGTCCTTTGCTATCCTTGACTAGCCACAGGCGAGCAATATTCTCAGAACCTTTTTTATGTCAACTGTACCTTTAAGACTGTAGATAATAGACCAGTTCATCGGTTACAAGAGTTTTTACACAAGCATTGTGATGATTTTGAAGAATTTTCGGTGATGCCTTCAGTAATGGATATATCAAAAAAATGCACTTCCAGTAAGGCTTTGGTTCCGAGGAAGTCGTGAAGGATTTGCGTTTTACAGACGATACCTCTCTAAAAATATTGAGTAGTTTTCATGTCTACGTGAACTGCTATACAGCCCTCAGAAAGCAGCTTCACCATTAAGTTCATGTGCTCCAAGCGCTCCATACCAACCTTAGCTATAATGAACAGCTCTGTTCCAAATAACATCGTACATGAAGGAGCGGCCATGTTGTGACTGAACCTTGGACTGGAGCACAATATTCGAAGATGTTGGATAAACTAGTATTTTGTACAAAGGAACTTTCCTCCCATTAACTCTATATGCACCCTTTACTTTCGAAATCGGGTAACACCTGAACCGGTACCACTTATGACCCCCTAACCAGGGAGGGGTAGTCTATTTACCGTGGGACTTTGAATGGAGACCCGGATGAGTCGATAGAGTTTTGAATGCTGTTTACGAAAATGGAAATTAAAACTGCAAAATGGTTTTCCTTAAAAAGTTATGAGGGCTGGAAATTTGCTTGACAGTAGTATTATTTGGATATGCGAACTCGTCGCTTCCGCATCAAGTTCTTACGTGGCCTAGTGGTAGTGGTCTCGCTTTATAGGCATAGGCCGAGGGTTTGCTCCCGCCATCGGCGACATTTTTGCAAATTGTTTTTTCATTTCATTAAAGGCTCTCTAAATCTTTTCTGACATTTGTTTAGGTGAACGCCTTATTTCTGCTTTTATTTTCACTCGTCACCCCTATCCAGGGAATTTCTGCA